CCTAGGCCAAACCCAGAGTCTCTGATTTTATAGGGTTCGGGTGTGACCCAACAATTTAATTTCTTACAAGTTCTATGATGATGCTGATGCTGCTTGGGCAAGGACTATACTTTGTGAGAACCGTTGGTGTATTGGATGTATTGGAGACAGTTAATTTGTCTTTTAACTCCAGGCTGCTGGTCCAAGAGAAATAATCTCCAGACCTGAAGGAGAAGAATGCATAGTCCCAGAGGTCCTGAACTTGGAGCTGGAGGCAGTAGATGGACGATATTGGCGTTGTCTCCGTTTGAGGGAGAGGATGAAATTTCATGAAATTGTTAGAATTTTTAATTGTGTATAATAGAAGTTTGCGACAAATGAGTGGACTGTGGCAGAGGCTGTGAGTTATCTATCAAAAGTTCATTTTCCCACCTTTTTATTTTATCAGGAGAGCCCCTCTCCCACCATAGAGGCTAAAAATGCCAATTAATCAGCCTCTCTTGTCACTAGGGCATTGGCATATAACCCAGTCCTGGCCAAGGGATCTGAAGGGAATTCAGCTGTAAGGGTGGAGGGCAAAATTCTGGGAAAGATATTCCTCCCTGATAAGAGACAAAGGAGGAGAATCCAGAGAACTCTGCCAGTTTCTCAGATAATTATACTCTCACAAGAGACTGGCAGTGGCAAGGCTAGCAAACAAAAGCTTGGAACACAGGGACAGCCAAAGTCCTGAAGGTGGTGGCAAAAGCAGCAATCTGGAATGATTTGTGATCCACCTAGGGGATCCACCTAGGGGGAAGAATCTCGTTAGGGAGTCTCACACCTTGCAGAAAGAAGCAACAACATCTTGCATCCATGTTAATAGGCTCTCACTTGTACCCCTAAATGGAATACTGGGAGAATTTAAGTTATATAAAAACCTTCCTACAACTGGAACTGTATAAGAAAGCCCTGTGTAAACTAAAAGCCATCCCACAAAAGATAGGTTTTCAAGAAATGAATCAACATCTCATGATTAATGGCGATTCTTGAGTCCATCCGAAACCACTGGGAAAACAGAAGCAGCATAGGACAATAAGCTCTCTTCAGCTTAGGAAGGTTTGGAAAAATATTAGAAAGAAGGTTCTCCTCCTAAGTATGTTGTGGTATGTTACTGGGGGAGGCTGAAGTGTGCTTTAAAAGGAAAGACCTCTTTTCTCACTGTGATCTTAAGTTAAACGCTGGCAGGCAGTAGAAAAATAAACTAGATGGACCCTTTAAACTCTAATATTCAATTAATTTGCATGATCCCATCCCTATTATGGCCATAGCTGCTGCAACCATAGCTGTATGTTGCTCTTACAAAAGATCTGTAATAAAGTCATAGATGAGACCAGTCCATTAAGTTTTCTATTTCTTGCTTAATCCAGCATGCAGTGAGTATATATAAGTGGTAAAAACAAACAAAAAACTTCTATTTTGGAGGACTATATCTTGTAGCAAAGGCAAATAATAACCTACACAAAATTAGCTAGAAAATTATTAAATTAAAAAGAAATTACAGGGAAGAAGAGACAAATTTCCCATGCAAAAGATTTTCAAATAATAATTCAGATAAATGTTCCTTCCTTCTAGGAAGTAGGCTGTATTTGGTGACTTGATTCCAAAGAGTATAGAAAGGGAAACAAAAAGTAACTTTCCAGTGGAGAAACCTGGCAAATAATATCTCAGCCAGGTGATCAAAATTAACATCAGTGGTAAGTTATGTTCACGGTATGAACACTTAAATATGATGTGATGAAAATGGCACTTCTACAGTTTTTCTCCCAAGAACTCATAACTCCAGTATAACTACGGAAAAAAAAAACAAAGCACAAATTGAAGGACAGTGTACAAAAGATTTGACCAGCATTCCTCAAAACTATCAAGGTCATTAAAAAAAAAAAAAAAGCTGAGAAACTATCACAGACCAGAAGAGCATAAAGAGACACGGCAACTGGAAGTAATGTATCCTAGATGGGATCCTGGAACAGAAAAAGGACATTGGGGAAAAACTAATGAAACCCAAATAAACTGTGAAGTTTAGTTAATAGTAGTGCACTAATAGTGGTTTCTTAGTTGCGACAAATGTTATCATAGTAATGTAATAAATTAACAATAGTGGAAACTGGATGAAGGGTATACAGGAATGCTCTGTACTATCTTTGCAACTTTTCAGTAAATTTTAAACCATCCTAAACTGTTTATTTAAAATTAAAGAAGGGGCCAGGCGCAGTGGCTCATGCCTGTAATCCTAGCACTCTGGGAGGCAGAGGAGGGCGGATCACTCAAGCTCAGGAGTTCGAGACCAGCCTGAGCAAGAGGGAGACCCCCGTCTCTACTAAAAATAGAAAGAAATTAATTGGACAACTAAAAATATATAGAAAAAATTAGCCAGGCATGGTGGCGCATGCCTGTAGTCCCAGCTACTCGGGAGGCTGAGGCAGGAGGATCGCTTGAGCCCAGGACTTTGAGATTGCAGTGAGCTATGAAGACACCACTGCACTCTAGTCCTGGCGAGACAGACCCTGTCTCAACACTACCCCACCTCTCCCCAAAAAAATCAAAAACCAAAACTAAACCGCCCTATACTAGAGATGAACTACTGGACTTGAAAGGATTGCTTCTGGGTTAGTAGCATTTTTTCTGCCCCTGCCCCCATCTTGTCATGGTTAGGATTATAAAAAATCCTGCAAAAAAGAACATTCATCTCAAAACTGTACTTACAATCTTTCCCTCCCTACAAAAGGTTTTTTGCCAATCATGGTGAATGGCACATCCATCGATCCAGTCCCACAAATTCACAAGTCATCTTTGATGCCTCCCGCCCTCTTCTTCCATAGTTAACCCTCCCGACCTGTGTGCAGATTATACTTTCTACATGTTGTTCAAATCTTTCACTTTACTCCAGCTGTATCATTATCTGGTACAACCTAACTGGTCTCCCATCTGTTCTCCAAACACTTCAAATCCCAGAACTCTACCTCTTACCTACTTCTCCAGCCTCATCTTGGAAGATGGAATATTCCCCATGCTGTAGGCTGCAGGGCCCTACAATTATTCAAATGCACCATAAAATGGTGTAGCTTGTTGCCTCAGATCTGGGACACCCTCCTCCTGCTCATTAACTCCTACTCCTTCAGATATATGCACTCTCAGTTGCTCAAAGTATTCCTTCCTTGCACCATCCCTCACTCCAACCCCACAGATTCAGTTGGACTCCAGCTGTCATGTTTACTATTGTTCTAATTATGCAATTATTTATGACTTTTTCATGCTAAGCACCCTAAGGGCAGAAATCCTATTTTTACTGCCCACCACACTGTATGGAATACAGCATGTAATACATACTGATTGAATGCTCTATTCATCATGATTTGCTCCAATGCTAAGTAAATACCCTTATTTTGACAAGTCAATAGCTACTTTTCTATGCAGAACTTGGAATGCATAACAGCAAAGTTAGAACTTAATATATAATTCAAAATACAAGTGTATAAAGTTAAGTAACAGCCAAGGTAATATTACAGGGGAACTGGAGTACTTCTGTGGTTCACTAAGTCTAATACGAATAGGTATACAATGAAAATAGGAGACAAATATTGCAATTTCAAAGACCTGCAGAACAGCTACTAAAAAAATGAATTTTAAAAGACAAAGGTTACATAGCTTGCTCCTTCCTACAAGACCAGAAGAAACTGAGGGTCCTTATTTGAGAGTAATATAAAGAAAGTGAAAACATTCCAGTTCCTTTAAACCCTCATACAAACTAAAGACATTTTTGCGGGAAGGGATCCTCCTAGGGACATGGTAGAATAAAGACACTTTTGATACAAGAAAATTCACAATTCTTTGGTAGTAACTGTTGAAACGTTTTATTGAAAACTTCCAGGTATATAATTAAAACTCAAAGGCATGATATTTAGGCTAATATTATCTAATAAGATATGTGGTTAAATATAAGGTATCTGTAGTGAAACTCTTTGCAAACCCATTCATCTTAAATACAACTCAAAAGCCTACCTATCAGTTTACCAATTTGGTTCTCAGTCCACTAAAAAGAATACACCATTATACTGTGCTCCTGAGATAAAATTTATGTTATGCACCCACCCACCTTGGCCAAATAAATATACTAACACACTGACATAAGGCCCTAAGGCTTTGTTAGTACTTAATTGCCTGTAAACCTGTCATTACCAGGATGACCACTTTTGCTCACTGATATTAGCCATCTTCATTAAGATGCATGTAACTGTTTATTAGCAAATTAAAGGTTTAGCTACCGGGCAATGCTACATAAAGAGCAAAGTAATTATTAAAGTGAATGCTCACATTAAATGTGTTACCTTAAGGTATATTATTTACAAACATATCCATATCACATAACTAGGTAGAAAAGTAAATATTTCTGAGAATTAAGAGAATATAGTTTGAAATTAAGACCTAGATTTCTACCATAAAATTTCACTTTAACAATTCAAGAATAAACAGAATAGCCATGAAACACTAGTGCTTTTTTTTTTTTAGCAACATAGTACATTCAATAAAAGCTATCACATTACCTTACAAATAACAGCTGTTAAAAAGCCAGAGACTCATTCAGTTTTTCCATTTTTGCCTTAAAAAGAGGTATCTTTTTAAAAAGCCCCAAATACCCTTTAGCTGGGTTTGATAATCCCATACTCAAGCAGGCAATAATCCACCCCATGAAGGTAAAATCCCTAAACTGTACATTACCCTGCGATTTTTTTTCCTTTCAATATCTGCCTCTGGTACTAAAAGAATGAAAAGAAAATCTGAGAATCATAAAGCTGAATATTTACCCTGGCTCTCTGTCCTTGTTTTATACATGAAATACCATACTACCATACCTCCTACTCCCCTTCCCCCACAAAAAACAAAAAACGAGTTGAGACCAGAATAATGATGGAACTAGAGAAGGGGCAACACATAAAATTATTGAAAAATACAGAGAAGTAGTCATTAGACATACACCAGTCCTGCTTTTAATAATTTTATTTTTTTTCTAATTTTGTTACTTTAGTTTCCCATAGCACCTTGGCAATGTTGAAAACAAACACAAATACAAGGATGTACTCATTTGAACATGTTATGCATGAGCATGTGTCACACCTTTTGGGGGGACAGTTTTGACAACAGGAACAAACCTAAGCAATGGTCAAAATAGAAGCCAGAGAACTGGTTCCGACCCCCACCCCCTCACATTTAAGAGTTGTCACTCAAAGGACACCTGACTCAGGTTAAAAAAAAAAAAGAAAACGTTGATATGGATCTTTCTTTACATATACTAATCAGTGTTCTGTGCTGCAAAACTGAAAATAAAACCATTTAATACACAGCCTGTTGATATCTGAGTTGCACTTTTAGGAACTGTCTACTCAAAGATTCATAGAAAGTTCTCAGCTTTAAAAAATAAACTTTAAGTTATTTAATAATCATATGAATTTTAAAAGAGAACTGATTCTCAACCTGAAAACAAATTCTCTTTCAACTTCTTAAAATATCCTCATTGAGCAAATAAAAAGTGAAATGTCTAAGTATCTTCTTGGAAGCTCAGGCTAGCTACATTAGCATATGCCAAAAAGCCCAGTTAAATTAATGGCCAACAAATTGTAAGGAAATATAAAATGTTAGGGAAAAAATCCATCATATATTATAATTAAGAATTTATAAAATCCCCTTAAAAGGAATACATGTCCTCTTTTGAGTTTTACCATTTCTGTTAAAAAAAAAAAAAAAAAAGGAAAAACAAAACTGGTACTTTTAAAATATGGTTTATATATATTGCCAACACAAATATCAGAGACTTAACTCCAGTGTTGTTCAACTGTGTCATAGTAAAACCAGTGGACATTTAAGCCAAGAGACTAATTATTAAGGCCATACCTAATAAACTAGAAGTGTTCATTAACTTTTAAATACTATTTTCTGTTCCAGCAACATTCTTCTTGTTTTCTAGTGTAAACACTAGTGAAGATGCTAACACTCCATAATTTAAGCCTTTTGCAAAGCAAACCTGGTTATTTAAAAAGAAAAAGGAATGTGAAATATTCAAGCTACCCTTAATTTTAAGAACCAAAAATAAATCAGAATTATGCATGTCATTTGATCACCTGTAAATTGAGCACTTAAGACCACAACAAACCCGTATCACTTAAGTCTTATCTTTCTCCAAAATCCAGTTGAAAAAAATTTAGAAGAAAACACTATTTTAAATGTGTCTATTTTTGACAAAATTGAAATTACTCAGACTAGAGACAGGCCCTTGATATTATGAAAACCTTAATTATCAGGATAGAAAATGGAGACAGATTTTACAATGTCTCTATGTACCTTTTCTATTAACTGCAAGGTAATGAACTTACATGAATGACTCTTGTTCTTTTCATGCAGTAAGAACTTACGGCAGAACATCACTGTACCAAACATTCAGTATCATTTATATCTACTTTCAGCCTCCAATAGCCCAAGGAAACGGTAAGTCATAAAGGTGAAGAGAAAAATTTGATATTAAAATTTTTCCATCTAAAGAACCAAATAAATAGTTGAACTACAATGAACACCCACCCTCATCAGTTACAGAGTAATGCTTGGAAAAAAGCCAAGTTTCACACAACTCACAGGCATCATTTAGAAAAAATCCTTAAATCTGCTGTAATAAAATAAATGCTAAATACATACTGTGAATATATATATTATATATACACACACACACATACACACACTTATTCTTCCCTATATATCCCATCAAATGGGAACTATTAGATGTAATGAGGCAAATTAAATTAAAAACACTATATTTTATAAGAAATTTAAAAAATGGTCATGTCTTCAAACTAAATTTCTGCTTTCAATAACGTCTGGAGAAAATGTGAAAATACACTTGCTTTCTTCAAAAGAAGACTTTTCTTGTGTTACAATTACAATCTGTAGATTTTTAGAAGTTGGTAGACTAACAGTAAGACATACAAGCATACATGTAATACAAGCCTACATCTGTGACACATTGTTAAAAAATAGGTAATGTTTCATATTAAGTGCAATAATTAAGTTTATAATCTTTACCAAGTGATTTTTATAAAATGTTTATTCTCTTAAATCCAATGCATTCGCAGATGTTAACATTTTAATGTTTATCATTTCCACCAACTGCAGCATTTTCTAAGTAAACCAAAATAAGAAGTTTTATCATAGATGTAGTCAATGATTATTAATACTTTTTTTTAAACGGACCTAAACTTCCCCCAAATTTCAGCACTGGTAGTTTTATTGTATGTTTCATTTAGTAGGTGATTTAAAAAATAGTGTGTAGAAATGAATAGTTTCAAACTGAGTAAATATGTTATACCATGTTATAAAATCCAACAAATCAAAAGCAATTGCCAAGCTGAATAATAAGTTACAAATAATAATTCTGGCTTGTACAGAAATGTGCAGTGTTTTCAAAGCTCTTAACAGTTACCCACTAATACAAATCTCCAAAGCTTAACTTAGAGTTGGAAGATGAGTTTCACAGTAATGTAATTTTAACCTCCATTTACATTCATTTTAATATATTACTAAGATGTTTACTCTATGTCACAATGGTGCTTTCCAGTGTTCACAATTTACAGTTTCAATTTGTACATATGTAATTCACTAACATAAGGGACAGTTTTTCTTATTATAAACTATCCATAAAAAGAAAAATAAAACCCACCTTACATAGAACTCTGAACATGGTATGACTTAAAACATTAATGCAACATGGTTTTTAATATTTTAGCTATTTCCTAAATACCAGCATGTAAACTTGCCTATTTAATATATGAGAGCTACAACTTTATTCACTGAGAAATTTTGCATTAATTTTCTTCAACCACTTTCCTCATCTTAACTTAAAAATCTCCTGACTTGCTGGTTCTGTTTCAGTGAATTCCAAATTGTATGTTTTTTTTTTTTTTGAAGAAGGGGAGGGGAAGGAAGGTGATAAATACACTGTAAACAGAAAAAAGTTCCCCACAAATTAAGCCTTTTAAAAAAGTTTCTTTTTACTTCTACACTATAACACTTTAAGAGTCAGTTATAATGTTTCATTTTTAACACTAACACAAATAAATTATTGTAGGGTCAGTTTACCCTACCATTATGGGCCCTAAAATTCTAAATATGTGAACAGAAGAGTAAATACTTTGACGTTCAAATGTGAAATTTAGAACACCTGTATGATTTAACTACATTGGTCAAAGCAGTTACAAACATACAATTCAGTAGGTGGTTATTTTGCTTTTGGGGGTGGGCAAAGAACAGAGAGTAACATAGATTAACAAAAAAATCTTTTGTTTCCCATGTTAGGGGGGAAAATCACAGGGTAGTTTAAACTTCTCAAGTCCATTTGACCTATCTACTCAGGTCTAAGATGAAATTTTTCAATTTTTTAAATAATCTCTATTCTTTCCTTGAGTATCAAACTGATTGGTAGTCACATCTCCAAATACAATCAGAGCTTAATAACTTCTTGAATGAAATATTAGTAAGGTCAAAAAGACAGACTAAATTTCAAACTAGGAAAAAAAACCTACTCAAGTATTACATTCAGTTTTCAAATCATTTACTAACACAACAATAGATTTGGCTTCAATCACTCTTCTACACACTCACACCCACAACAGGCACCCCAGCCACCAATCTGCTTTGCAACAAAAGGCCATATAGTCAGAGATGGCATTCTCCAAGCCAAACTTTAAATAGATTAAAAAAAGTAATTTCTAATTTTACAGAAATGCTTGTTCAAAAAATATTTTCTCTCACTCCCTCATCTCCTATACTGAAGGATGTATAATGTCTTTTTTTTCCCAAGCTAAATCTGAACCCTCAAAATTGATTCCAGGCAGAAAATCTCTGCAAATTAAAATCAGAAACAAAAATAGAAAAATTATACTTTTTATATATGTGTGTATATATATATATACTGATTGGAATCCTCCAGCATTTAAAAATCACATTAGAGATGAATTTTGGGATCCTACTGTTCACAACTCCAAAATCCATAATGATTTAAGGACATACTTTTTCCTGCTTCCTTCCTGGCTACCCCCTCCCCTCCAAAAAGTTCAGTATAGCCACGGCTCAAGTTTAATGGGAAGAGAGAGAAGTGTGTGAATAGTTTTTGTTTTGTTTTGTTTTTTACTTTGGTGATCTGGGTGGCACATATTGCTCTTTGCCATTACGTCGAGTCACTCCCTGAGGTATAGCCCTATGGCTAAACTGGCGTCTCTGTTCCCTGATTTTTCCAGCTGCTCCCCTGGGAATGGTATTGCCTCGGAAGCCAGAATAATCCTTACTAGCCCTTGCTTCTGACTTCTCGTGTGGTTTCTCAACAGGCTTCTCAGGAGCTCCATTCTCTTCATTTTTGGTGGGAGACACTACATTGGAGCGAAGTTCCCGTAGTGGCTGCACAAGAACTGAAGATGGCTCCTTAGGGGGCTTCTGGCACACTTCAGCATAACTTAACTTTCGGGGTTCCTTTGAAGTGATAAGAAACAAAAAATAATTTATGGCACACATTCTGTAAATAATAAAGTACAAAAAAGATCATGTTAACCACAAGAAAACCATAGGTTATTTTCTAGGAAAGGGCAATAGACACTCATACATACACCTCAATTAGAACGTACTGGCACAATCTTAAAAATATATATATATATATTTATTGAAAATAATAAGAAGCCTTAGCAATTTATTTATGATACAATAATTTCACTAGATGAATTTATCTGAAGGATGTTCATGTTAACATTATCTAGTGATGGGCTGGGCGTGGTGGCTCACACCTGTAATCCTAGCACTCTGGGAGGCTGAGGCCGGAGGATCATTTGAGCTCAGGAGTTCAAGACCAGCCTGAGCAAGAGCAAGACCCCATCTCTACTGAAAGGAAAATAGAAAGCAATTATCTGAAAAACTAAAAATATATAGAAAAAATTAGCTGGGCATGGTGGCACATGCCTGTAGTCCTAACTACTCGGGAGGCCAAGGCAGGAGGATTGCTTGAGCCCAGGAGTTTGAGGTTGCTGTGAGCTAGGATGACACCCTGGCACTCTAGCCCAGGCAACAGAGTGAGACTCTGTCTCAGAAAACAAAACAAAACAACAAAAAAAAACATTATCCAGTGATGAAAGTAATGCAAACAACCTAAATGCCTAAGAAAGGATAAATTAATAATGGCATAGCCATATGATGAAATAAAATGGTTCTACCCTCTTTCCTTGCCATAAAAAATCTTGAGAGTGGCCGGGCGTGGTGGCTCACGCCTATAATCCTAGCTCTCTGGGAGGCCAAGGTGGGCGGATTATTTGAGCTCAGGGGTTCGAGACCAGCCTCAGCAAGAGCGAGACCCCGTCTCTACTAAAATTAGAAAGAAATTAATTGGAAAAACTAAAAATATGTAGAAAAAATTAGCCGCGCATGGTGGCACATGCCTGTAGTCCCAGCTACTCGGGAGGCTGAGGCAGGACGATCGCTTGAGCCCAGGAGTGTGAGGTTGCTGTGAGCTAGGCTAATGTCACGGCACTCTAGCCCGGACAACAAAGTGAGACTCTGTCTCAAAAAAAAAAAAAAAAAAAATCCTGACAGTGAATCCCTAAGGATTGCAGCAGGGCAGGCAGAATATTAATAGAAGACTAATCAAAACTTAATTACCTCAAATGAAAAAGGTGGAATGTTGTGAGAATTAAGCACAAGTCTTTAGCACTGATTCTAAAACATAGTTAAGTATTCAAGTGGTAGCTGCTTTTTTAAAATTATTATTACTGTCATTATTAAACAAGACATTCTCAACCCATAAAAAGCTATACTCAAATCATATCAGTTACATCACTAAATGGATTACAGGTAAATTTTGTGAGTTTTTTCCCCGCTTTTCTATATTTTCCCAATTATAAAATTATAAAAGAATTCTGGAACTTAAATGCAAGTGGGAGTAACCCCTCAGTGGCCACTCACAGATCTGTTAAGTGTCACATATATCTGGGGTCCCCAACCCATGGGCCGTGGACTGGTACCGGTATGTGGCCGGTTAGGAACCAGGCCATACGGAAGGTGAGCCATGGGCAAGCGAGAAGCTTAATCTGTATTTACAGCTGCTCCCCATTGCTCGCATCACCACATAAGCTCCGCCTCCTGTCAGATGAGCAGGGGCATTAGATTTTCATAGGAGTGCAAACCCTACTGTAAATTGCGCACGTTAAGGATCTAGGTTGTCAACTCCTTATGAGAATCTAATGCCTGATGATCTGAGGTGGAGCTGAGCTGGTGATGCTAGAGCTGGGGAGTGGCTGCAGATACAGATTATCATTAGCAGAGAGGTTTGACTGTACAATAAATGAAATGCACTTGAATCAACTTGAAACCACCCCCACTCCCATCCTTGGAAAAACTGTCTTCCATGAAAAACTGGTCCCTGGTGCCAAAAAAGTTGGGGACTGATGACATATAAAATGAAAAGAATTTCAAGAGACTCAAGGCCTTGTTATGCTATCCAAAAATTATAAATTCATCACAACCTAGAAAACAAAGAAGCTTCATTTTATTATAATATGATCAGGAAAATAAAATCAAAAGAAATAGAATGAATAGTAAATTCTTCATTCCCTCAACATGACATAAAAGTTCCCATCTCTTTGCTGTGACCTTAAAACTCTTATGGTTTCTTTCTGATGTAGGCAGCTTCAGTTTGGGCTACTTCCAAATGAATGTGCCCTAACAAAGTGTTATGTGAAAAAAATAATTTATTATCTAATGTATTATATTTTTTCTCACATAAATGAAACTCTTCAAGTTACCTGTAGGGCCACAGCTACAGCTGCATTTATGTTACTATTACACGGTGAAGCAGTATTTGCCCTTGATGGCTTTGCAGTAGTTGGGGAAGAAACTGGAATAGTTATCTGGTTGAGAACATCCTTCTGAACAGTAGAATCCTCTATTAAATCCTTTTCTTGCTGAGTTGTGCTAAGGAAAAAAAGAGCTTGACATTAGACTCAGAATAGCAAGCAAACAGTTAAGCAACTGAATGGAAGAAAAAGCAATTTACTGTTGAAGTCTTCTATACTGAAACTTGTACCTTAATGCAGGAAGCTCAGCTGCACATGGAGGACTGGTACTCATACTGAGCTGCTGGGCAGAAGTGCAGTCTGTCTGCTCATCTTCTGCAGGCACTGGGCAACTAACTCTAAGTTCTTCACTATCCTTAAAGTAAAAAGATATTTCAAAATTACACTCAGACATTTTTCCAAATAAGATATACAAATGGCCAATAAATACATGAGAAGACGATCAACATCATTAGTTATTAGAGAAATAAAAATCTAAACCACAATGAGACCGGGTGTGGTGGCTCACATCTGTAATCCTAGCACCTTGGGATGCTGAGGTGGGAGGATCCCTTGAGGTCAGGAGTTCGAGACCAGCCTGAGCAAAAGGGAGACCCTATCTCCACAAAAAATAGAAAAATTAGCCAGGTGTGGTGGCACACGTCTGTGAGGCAGGACAATCACTTGAGCCCAGGAGTTTGAGGTTGCAGTGAGCTATGATGATGACACTGTACTCTAGCCCAGGGACAGAAAGAGACCCTGTCTCAAACAAAACAAAACAAAACCAAAAAACCACAATGCAAAAACCACTTCATATCCACTAGGATGGTTTTAATAAAAAAGACATTAACAAATGTTGGTGATAATATGGACCTATTGGAACTGTCATACATTGAAGGTGGCAAGGTAAAATGATGCACTGCCTTATAAAACAATCTGGCAGTTTCTTAAAAAGTTTAATAAATATGGAGTTACCATATGTCCCAGCAATTCCACTCCTAGGCATGTAACCAAGAGAAATAGAAACATGTCTATACAAAAATTTTCACACAAATGTTCATAACAGCATTATTCGTAATAGCCAAAAAGTGGAAACAACCCAAATGTCCATCAACTGGTGAATGGATAAACAAAATGTAGTATATCCAAATAATGGAATATTATTTGGCAATAAAAAAATGGAGTACTGATACACACTTTAACATGGATGAACCTAGAGGATATTATGCTAAATAAAATAAGTTAGTCACAGAAATCAAAATACTGTATGATTCCACTTATATGAAGTATGTAGAGTAGTCACTTAACAGAGTCAGAAAGTAGAATGCTGGTTGCCTGGGGCTTAGGGAAGGGGGGAAAGAGGAATTGCAATTTAATATGTACGGAGTTTTAGTACTGCAAGATAAAGAGTTATAGAGATTAGTTGCACAACAATGTGAATGTACTTAACACTACTAAACTATACACACCTAAAATGTTAATATGGGAAATGTTATGTTGTGTGCATTTATTGCAATTAAAAAAGAAAGAGTCCTAGAAATCAAAACTGACTGATGAGATAAATTTTTCAATAGGTTTAGAAGGTAATGTTCAGGTAAACTTTGTAGAAAATACATGTAAGAAAGACCAAAATTAAGAAAACTCAAAACAAGAAAAATAGAAGAAAAGAAAGATGAAGAATTTATCAAAGAGATTATACAGGAAAATTTCCCATCATAGAACAGCTTCCAGATTGAAAGGGTCCACCAAACACCCAGTGCAATGAAAAAAAAAAAAAGAGCCATACCCAAGATTCATCAATATGACATTTCACAGTATACCAAGGATAAATAAAAAATCCTAAAAGGCTCCAGAGAGACCAAAAAACAGGCCACAGAGATTAGGAATCAGAATGCTTGGGTTCTCAAAAGACTCTCTGGAAGCTAGAGGATGTTAAGCAAGATATAAAAAGAACAAATCATAAAGACTGATAAATAGGACATTAAAATAAAAATTAAGAACTTGTTTTCACCCAAAGACACTAAAGACTGAAAACCATAAAACTAGTAAGATTATTTGCAATACATAACTGACAAAGGATTGGTATCCAAATCATATGAAAAGTTACATAAATCTGTAAGATAGTCGAATAGAAAATAAATATTTGAAAGACTCTGAAGTTTTAAAAGAACATCCCCTATGACCCAGCAACTCCACTCCTATGAATATACCCTAGAAAAGTTCTTGCTCACGTGAACAAAAGATTTGAATATTTATAGCAGCATTGCTTATAACAGCAAACAAACAAGAAAACTAGCTGAAACATCCATCGACAGAATGGATGAATGTTGTATTTGTACAAGAGAACATTACACAACATTTCGAAATGAGGTACAGTCATCTCTATCAACAGTGATAAATTTCAAACCATACAGAACAAAAGAAGTAACAGAAGAATACATATAATTTTCTTTATATAGTGTTCAAAAATAGGCACACGAAACAATATATTGTTTAAGACGGGTTGGCAAACTAAGATTCACAGGCCAAATTCAGCCTTCAACTTGTTTTGGCATGGCACACAAGCTAAAAATGGCTTTCAAGTTATTATTAAAGTTTTAAAAACAAACAAGGTATATATGACAGTATGTGGCCCACAAAGCCTAAAATATTTACTATTAGCCCTTTACAGGAAAAGCTTGCCAACCCAGAATGATAAAAACTGTGAAGAAAAGGAAGAAAATTATTATTATTATCACAAAGTCAGAATAATGTTTATATCTAAGCAGGACAGGGGAAGAAGTACTGTAAATGGGGAGGAAATACACATGTCACTGCTAAGATACTGAGGATGTTTATAGGACATAATTGTGGGTTGGGATTACAAGGGGACGTACACTTTATTATTTAAAAATGTGTGTGTTATTATATCTCTGAGAAGCTACCAACTGTAAAATACACCATTATTTTATGTATTAAAAAGAAAAAAACACTGCCATTTAAACTACGATAGCTTTTAATTATAAGAAAGACTGATTTTTTTAAGGTGGTAAAACATTTTAAGAAGTTCATCTTAGAATTAATGAAGTAACTACCATATTTTATGATATTTCTAAATGAGGTAAGACAGTAGAATAATATCTTCAAAATTCCAAGGGAAGGCCGGGCATGGTGGC